TCCATTTCTCTGTGCTCACCTCTTTTGCAGGCGCACCGTAACTGCCTGGTTGGCTTAATTGTTCCGCACGCAAAGCGTTTTTAAAGGACCACCAAACAGTTGCACTGGCAATAACGACGACAACAACAACGGCAGCTGGTTGGACAGGAAAGGCAGTACCAACGCATTTGCATTGAGTAAAAACTTTGAGAAAAAGGCTTCAGTTAATGAGACTTGTTATATAAAGAGTTTGCGCTCTGTCCTCGATATATGGGCACTGAAGAGCCAAGTGTATTAACGACTGTTATCGACAGTAGTTCGAGCATTTTCGTTGAGCAAAGTCATGGGTCGGATCATTGATGAGGATTATTGTCGCTAATAAAAATATTATACGATGATAGCGCATCAGAAAAACGACATATAGAGGTTAATAGAAATTACTAAAAGACTTTTATTTTAGCTGATATTATATCAATGCAAAGTTATCATTGAACTTTTTACCCCTAGATTGTTTTTCTTCGTCAAATCGACGACGAAATTTAAATTTTTCCACCGCTTTTGTTACGTATGTATTAGAAACTGACCGTTCACTCATAAAATGTAAAAACATACTTTATATATATTTAAGTTGGTAAGGTTTTATAACCTGTTCTCTTTATCATTAACTAATTAAAGATACACACAAATTTATGAGCCAATTTTTGTGAATAAATGATATGAAAAATTATATCAACAATTTTTACTAAAATCTGATCTGAAGCTACTGAGTTTCACGAATACATAGAAAGGTACTTGAAGCTTTGTCCGTCCGTCTGTCCGTCTGTCCGTCCGTCTGGATGAACGCGAGGATCTCAGAAACTATAAAAGCTGGAATAACCAAAGTTGGCACCCAGATTCTCCTAGGTCCGAGTAAGGACGAGTTTATTTTATTTTTTTTAATTTTCCCCCCCTTCCCCCGCTACAGAATTTCGTCAATAGCGTCCACATTTCAAATGCTACCTAAACCAAACTTTGCACACATAATTTGTATATAATTATCTACTGTTGTTGAAAATTTTATTCAATTCGGTAAATTCTAAGAAAAGTTATTAGCAAAACAAATTCTCGCCAGTACAACCCCCACAAACTGCAGCAACAAGTTCGCTCTTCTTCTTCCTCTTTTTGCTGCTGGTATGGGCGCATATAACTCAGTGACGAAAGTTTACCTGGGTACAGGGTATTACACTGTCGGGCTTGCTCGACTGTAGCGTTCTCTCTTGTTTTGTTTTAATTTTTCTTATTTATTTTATTTTTTTTTATTTATTTTATTAACTTATCCTAGCGTTACAAGTACCAGATTACTTTTAAGTTATTACGCTAGTCATTACATAATCAGTTCAATTTAATACAAGTTTAATGTAATGTTTATTAGCGATATTAATAATAACACATAAGACTTCTGAGAATAATCAAAATTTCTACCAAAATTATGCATTTCCATAAGCTAAATGCTCAAAGAAAATCTTTCACATTTTCTGTCTTTCATGCATAGAAATAAGTTGCAGGTTAACCAGAAATGTAGTTTCATTATTGTTATATATTCAAGAGTTCGAAACATAAAATTATTGAAAACCCTACATACTTTGTTCGTATGTGCATTTTGTATTAAGAAAAGGTTGTGGCCATATTTCCATTTTCCCACACACTTGCATTTGCACCTGTGGAACAATATTTGAGCAGGTGTTGACGGGACCTGAACATAGACATATATAGTATATGTTTGTAGGTACATGCATAGGCATAAAGTACCACAATAAAGGTGCTCCGACACCTCCCCACACCAAATCCCTCGGCCCCACACCACAGGTAGTGTGGTCCTGCGCGCCTACAACTAAGTAATTGATTCTGCTTGGCCATTAATGAAGCGAATTTTGTTGTGGAGAGCAGGCTTGTTGTCCGAGCTACGAGCCAAATTAGTTTTGGCCTGTCAAGTGGGCCTATGTATGCACATATTCGTCTGCAGGCTTCGAAGCGACTGCCGCAGGCAACTATCAGCCACTCGAGGCGATTCCTGGACGACCAAACAAACGGATAATGCGTTAAGTGCTAGCGACAACATTTTGGGTCTACTTGTCTACTTCAGTCGCTCGGAATGCTATGCAAAATATTATAATATGTAGATGGTCACAATTTATTGTGCAACATTTTGACAAGCCACATATTTAATTAGCGTCTTGTGTGTCTGCCCAAGTTTTGAAGCAGCTGGAGAACTATTGGACAACTGCAAGCTTCTGTAGATGCGATGTGTGTGTGTGTGTGTGTGTGTGTGTGTGTGTGTGAGGGTATGTGTTGTTCAAGTTTCCTTTGCATGTTTTAGGGTTACGGGCCAGCCAGAAATTACAGTGCCTAGTGACCACAATTGTCTGTGGGTGTATGTTTGTCTCTTGTAATTTGTAGACCGCATGTTGTTCTGGTCCTCACCCCATCAGACGCTCTTCAAAGGTCTACCCACCATATACCCATCGCACTTAATCGATAATTTGCATGTCTGCTTGAATCGCACACTAATCTATTTAATTTATAATTGATTCGTGTTCTGCCATTGGCTTTAAATAAACTTCGTTTGGCATTTAGTTGACCAATTGATAGGAGCTTTGGCCTGACCATAATAAGCTAAAGTGCTCATTTGTGAATAAGGCCAAGGCAGGCAAATTAGTTAAGTTATATAAAGTCATTTGGCAGGCATTTATGTGGAGTTCAGTTAGTAAAATCATTGGTTGAACAGATTTCCTAATGTTTCTGTTAATTGAAATGTACTTGAAAAACAAAACTTTAATGTATATATGTATGTACTTTAATGTTTTTACACAATATATATTCATTGAAATTCAAACAACTTATAAAATTAAAAACACTAATGTTTTGAAATTATTGTTCTTGTGAATTACAATTTTGTTCGATAATAATGTCAACTAAATTCGGTTTCTTACTATAAATAATCATTCATTGTTTTCAAATATATTTCTTAGAGTAAAGCTGCATCTTGAAAATGAATTTCAAGAGACTAAACTTCACTTGTGTGTTCATAAATGTCTATAATTATATAGCAAGGAAACCCATCTTTAAATTTGTATTTTAATTTATCAACTAAAAGAAGACCGCAATCGCCTTATACGTATTAATTTTTTCTCTACAATTAGAAGTTATCAATTAATAAATAACACTTTTTAAAAATTTTTAAACTATTTTATATAAAATCAATTTTGGAAAATTATTTATTCATTTGAAGTATAAAGAAGGATGCACATCACATTATAGTGGACTTATATTGTGCGAAGAGGGAAATTTAAAATTTTTTATTGTAGCAGCTTTTGGGTATTTAAGCCAAAGAATAGCCAGAATCGCGGCCCAGCTTCCCTTCAACATTCTGAAAGTGATTTCTATTTCTGCCAATTTCGGGAGCTCATAAAAGATGATTTTTTTTTGCTTCGGTTCCATAATCTGCTACAATCTCAAAACTTTTCAAATAACCAAGAATTTTTGCAAAACTCAAATATGTGGTCGAACAATTCGTTTCCAATTCTACAACTCAACAATTTAATATCCTAGTTTCTCAAATAGGACTTTAACCTTAAGTGTTGCGTCGTGTTTTATTTTCGTTGTCAACCTTTGGAACTCCACTTGTCACATTCAATGTCAACGGAAAGTGCACACATTACGTATACGTCATGTTGTGTAGACATGGTATGTAATAAGATGCTGTGAAAAGCAACAGCTATAGTTTATTCCCACTACTATGCACATGCATGTGTTTAGGCATAGGCATTAATAACATAAATCGTTGTATACAAATAAATGTCAGCAGCAAAACGCATAGAGTATAGAGACAGAGAGAGAGAGAGAGAGAAAGCTGTCGCCGACAAAATGCACAAAATATTAATATTGATTTATTGCGAGCTGCTCACAACCAAGGGCTTCAAGATTTTCCTTTTGATTTTGCCATCAATATAAATCATTTACTGCTCTTGATGATGATGGTTGTTGGCGCTTCACTCACAACTGTCAACTGTACGAGTATTTTCCATATTAGACGCACTAATTTCCTATACAGTTGAAAATGATTTGATAATGAAAAGGAAATTAAGTGCACACGGCGCACTGTTGTTTGTCGTACTTGATGCTGCTGCTGCTGTTGTTGTTGTTGTCATTGTCGATGTCCTTGCTTTGTTTCCTTAGACCCTACCAACTGTTCTATGTAAATTTGATGCAACCTCAGTCCAGTGGACTCAGCTGTTTGCCAGCCAGCCAGCCAGCCTGCCTGCCTGCATTTGAGTGCCAAACATCCGTTTCCGCTATTTACCAATGTTAGTGCTGAGTCTGGTGATATGATGTGTGATATGTATCATGTGCTAGTGTGCTACTGTGTGTGTGAGTGTGTGAGTGTGCGTGTCTTATGCATATTTCAAATACTTGCATATTGCAACAGACATTCCCTTGAGTAAAACACGAACCAAACAACAAACTGCAAACGAACCAACTAAACAGTCGAACAGCCAAACATCCATTGTACTGCCACCCTTTGGTTTCAATCTCTATGTATGTTGCACTATTTGCTCGACGGATGTGAACAAATCCTGTGGCAGGGGTCTCTACTGAGCTGCTCCATATTTGCACGCCAGTCTGAAGAGGCCAGTGGAGCTTAGTGGATTGCTTGTGTGTGTGCCGAAGCGACCTGCTGGCAATGCAGTTTTAAGTTCGGCACAATCTCATGTTATTGATACTTTAAATGGCATTAAGTGTTCGTAACTATGTGTTTCATAAATAAGTCAAAGGTATACACAATTAAGAATGTTATCCAATGCGAGGAGTTGGCAATCAGTTCTTGAGGTGTTCGCCATCGGAAAATGAAATTGTTTTCTATTACATTTTTCATCTTCATTTTTTTTTTGTTTGAACGCAGAAGGCGTATAGTTTTTTGTCCAATTTCATTTTTAGATTTGTATTTATAGTATTGTTAAGAAAAGTCCTTTTGTAATTGTGATGTGTTCATAGCTTTTATTCGAATACATTAAAAGCCAGATTTTTAAAATGAAAACAAAATTTTGATTGGGCTTCAATTCTGTGTTTACTAAATTTACAGGCGTTTGTGTAGGACTACAACCGCTAAAACAAAATTAATAAGCCTTCAAAGAGGAAGGTGGGGTTACTCTAAATTGTGTTGGTTAGCTCGACAAGTTCAATTTTATTGCATCGTTAAATCAATTTAAATTTGCTTCAATTGTGTTCAGCTAGCATTCGGCAACATGGAAGACGCAGACAACGATTTAATGATTGTGGAACCAAGCTCTAGTTCGAAAAGTACTGAGAACAAATTTCAACCCTTCGGCAGTAGGACTCCTCATGACTCCTCACTGCTCCGATATTGTCAGTATCAAGAACTACTCGAGAAGGCAAACGATGATAACGTTATAGACTGCACAGAGGAAGAAGAGTTGGTTGCAGTTCCTCAGTCTGTTGCAGCACCAGCGACTATGCCAGCTGCTGGGGAAGAAACTTTGCCACGAACTCAAACGCTGAAGGATCGATTTCAAATTTATAAAGATAATTTCATATCGAAATTCTTGCCTAAAAACGCGGAACGTTGTGAGAAGCTCACTCCCGCTATTTTGAGGCGGTGCCGGTATATACTGCAGGGTCCAGCTAATGAAGTGCTGAGCACCAAATTCAATCTGAATATCACACGCTCCCAATTGTCATGTCTCATTAGTGGCCACTGGTTAAATGATCAGGTTATTAACATCTTCATGGGTTTGGTGCGGGAGCGCGGCCAACTCAACAGCAGATTGCCACGCACCCATGCCATGAGCAGCTTCTTCGCCACTCGCTTGCTCAATGGAGGCTTTGCTGCTGTCCGCCGCTGGACCCGTACAGTCGACCTCTTCAAAATGGACCTCATATTGGTGCCGTTCAATGAGAAATCGCTGCACTGGTGCTTGGCCATCATAGATATGCGAACGCAACGCATAAGCTACTACAATTCGTTGAATGGAGGCAACTTGCCGTTTCTGCAAGCGTTAGCGATTTATTTGGCTTCGGAGTCGATGGATAAGCTGAAGGTGCCATTTAATTCGAGCTCCTGGCGTTTGGTCAATGTGGCCGGTCTACCAAAACAATCAAATGGTCAGGACTGTGGTGTATTCACTTGCATGTATGCGGAGCATGTGGCACGGGGGCAGCCCATTAATTTTACGCAACGGGACATGCTATATTTTCGGCATAAAATGCTGCTAGAAATATGCGATGGAAAACTGTGGCAGTGAAAGGGGAAGTAGGAAATCTTTAAATCAATCATCTGTAAATCAATCATCTTCAAATCATTTTGTATAATATTTTTCTTAATTTTTTGTATTCCATAATTTCTGTTGTGAATAGAGAACACATATTTATAATATAAAACAATATAAATTGGGATATCTAATCGAGTTGATTTGTTGTTCTTAAAACTTAAAAGCTTTTAATCATTTTTAATAACCTTTTATTCCTCACTTGCATTCATTTAGCGCCTGTTTCAAATGTTTCTACTGTTCTACCATAAAACAATATAAATTGGGAAATCTAATCGTTTTTGTTATTCTTAGAACTTACAAGCTTTTAATCATGTTTGAAAAATCCTTTGTTCCGCCAATAATTGAGTTTCTACACTTGAATTCATTAAGACTCTATTTCAGATGTTTCTACTGTTCTTCTATAAAACAATATAAATTGGGATGTCTTATCGTGTCTGTTGTTCTTGAAACTTGCAAGCTTTAAATCATGTTTGAAGAACCTTTTATACCACGTTTAATCGATTTTCCACGCTTGTGTTAATGAAGCGTCTATTTCAGATATTTCTACTGGAGAGTAAAGGTAACTGGAATAAGGACAGGTTGTTTTTTTTTTAAGTGGTATTATTGTCTTACTTACTTTATTAAACGGCTGCATGTGGTAAAATATAGTTTTCACTTAATATTATCAATCAGTGCCACAGTCTTTTAAATAAATCTGCTGTGGCAATGGAATCCATTCATTCACATTCGATTACATTATAGTTTACATTGAAACCAATCATTGTTGCATACCTATTATTGTTGCCATGAAGAGTAAATTCAATATCAATTGATAATTATAAGTATCTTAACAGAGCTTGATAATAATAATTTTGAGATATCTAAGAAAATGTTTGGACAAAGCATAATGCCATCATTTTAAAATACCTTCAGCTGATCTATCGAAAGTATGTCAATTGTAAGTAATAGTCGTTAGGTTCTTTGCTACACTTTTTTTTTAGCTTAAAAACTAATATCCGCCTTTTCGTAAACATATGTTGTCAGCTTCTTTGCACTACACACACACATGCAGTTTAATTTCCTGAAGTTGCTTTCAGTTGCTCAGCCGTTGCACTCGACTTGCAAATTCTCCATGGTCACATTTGTATAGCATTAAATGCCTTTGAGTATCGTAAATAACAGTTTAGTGTGCATAAATTCAAAGAGAATTATGAATGTCCAGCGGTGTATTTGAGGAGAGGGCAAGGGAATGTAGTAGAGTGTAGAAACGGCAGCAACTACAACAACTTTGGCGCCATAAAAACCAAACCAAACCAAAAGCAAAGCAAAGCAAAGCGGTGACACAAACGCAAAACAGAAAAGAGGCAGGGATAGTACGCGCCCAGCAGGACAATTGACTGCATTGGCCTCAAACAGGCGCCACATGCCTTACTGCCGCTGGTGGCCCCAAGCTGGTCGGTTGCGGCTCGGCAGTTACACATCAAATGCACGTCTCGAACCAGTCGGCATGCGCTCCAAGATGAAGATAAATATGCTGCAGTAATAAAAAGCATCAGCATTCAACATCCAGCAGACAGGAGACACAGTTCCCACTTTGTCTGGACATTTAAGTGACCAAAATGCGCATTAAGCGACGCTTGTCGTTGTGCGGCTTCATGTGCCCCAAGTTCTGGTCGCCATACTTTTCCACCATACATTGGGTCAAAAATTTAAAACAATACACATTTAAATCACTGTCATCAACGGCCTATGTCCAGTTGTTGCTTAATTTTGTGGCTCAACAAACTCATCAGATAATTCGATAATTAATGGTACCATATTGAAGAGAAAATGCTGCCCTTGACTCTTATAAATCACTATAAGCTTCCGTTTAATGATCATATCGGGTGCAAAATTTTGATGTTGCTTCTAACCTCGCTGTACTCATCTGTGTTAGAAAACCTTTTGATTATTACAACAGTTACTCGTTTACTACTTAGATTTGTTTTAATTTCCTGGGTGTTTCGAATCAAGTTTCGTCAGTAAAGCTATTATACTTAACAACTTATTGTGTATCGAAAAATTACATACTTATTTACACAATTTGTATATTCTTCACATTTTCAAATTGTAGAAATTTATTTTAATATTCAGTGCACAAGGAGAACTATAGACAGAACGCTTCTGAAGTCTTGTTGACTGACTTGCATTTTCGAAAAACTACCAATTAAGATAGATTAAGATACTGTGAGCTGAATCGGCTGAACAATTATCCGTCCGGGTACTTGAGATCCTGGCTAAAAATTATTAAAAAAGTGAAGCTTTCTCTCAGAAAGCAATTTCGCAGATGCTCCGGTGGCAGCCATATGCCCGAAACTATAATCTATAATAAATGCCATTCTTTGGCTTTTAAAGACCCCAAAAGTTTGTAAATCTGGAGTTTTATTTTAGTATTGAATTAAAATTAATATTAAATATTAACATGATTTCAAAGCATATTTTAAATCAAGTTTGGATTCTTAATAAACTGCAAGCATTTTAATTAAATAAATGAAATATATATATAATAATAAATAATTAATTTAAAAATTTAATAAAAAGGACGTGTTGATAAGCCCAAAGAAACAAAATATGAAAAGTTTATTACCCATCTGCAGTCTTCAGATATTATTAAAATCATTATTGCTTCTAGAAAGTATTATATCTTTTAGAAAATATGATATGTATTTCAATATATTTGATCCAATGTGCACCGCTGTGTGCCTTGCATTTTAAATGTTGACATAAATTTGCAGTTTGGCTTTTACGCTTTTAGCTAAACTATTTTAATGTTTGGCCCTGGACGGCGTCAACAGCAGCTACAGTGCACATTCGTACATGACTGACATAGTTTCTGCTAAATAAATTAAAAACTTCAACACTTTGCTGCCACCACCTTCCCTCACCACCCCTCGGCTATAGTGTCCAACGCTCTCGTTGCTTGTCTGTTTTAATTTGTTGGCCGGGCAATTAAACAATGCTCTCCTCATGTTTGCAGTTAGGGTTGTTGCACACTCCTCTTCCTTTTTAACGCATTCGCCATTTGTCAAAAACTTGTAGTATGTGCGAAAATGTTGCGGTGATTGTTAAATGCTTTCATTCCGAATGGAATGCAAATGCAAGATATTTAATATTCATTTTGCCATATGATGAATAAAAGGAACAATAGAATAAAAAAAGAAAATCTCAATATTGATGATAATAGAGTTTCGTATGCGGTCATAGATATAAGAATTGTTTTATTGTAAAAAGGTTTCAACGTAAAAACGATCAAAAACGGTAACAAAACTGATAAACCACATTTATTTTCCAAATATATAGCGTGTTAATAAACTGCTCTTAAGTCTAACATGAATGTTAGTTTATCCCGGTGGACCGCAATTGACAGCCCCTTATAGACACAAATTGGTTCTTTGTGTTGTTGGGTATTGGAAATATCCAAGCTAATTAGCTTTGCAATCGACTTAATTCATCAGCCTCCTGCTGTGCATCAAAAACGCCAACCGTGCGCCGCCGGGAGAGCATTTTCCCGTCTCCTCCAGTAAGGTATGCCTGAGCTCGTGCTGGACAGTGGTAGAGTAGGTCCTTCAGCATATCCATCCGTTTCTGGTTCCTTACAATACTGATTATCAAGCAAGCTATGAGTAAATCGGTTGTGCATGTGCATTCCTTTATTTGAAGTTGCAGGAGATAGTGGGTGAGCTTTTCGTCTCTACCAAGCACCTGGCTCAGGCGAACTCGCAAGTGGCAGTGTTTTCCCAGGCTTTATGCTTCAAGTGCTGTAGAACGCTGTTAGGCAGATTATTAAGTCGTTCGTGCTTGCTTGCACTCTGCTCTGCTGCACGATTGCTTGAGCTCAGGATATGTGCAGTATATTCCCGGCCTAGTTCCTGCCACAATCTTTAAAGAGTCTAAGTTTTGTTGTTTATGTAAATTTCGATTGCAGAGCAGTGTACTCCGTGCTTCTCCTTAGCTGTTTAGCAATCAAACCGCTCTTCGCGAGCTGGCGTCCTTTGTCTACATCAACTAATATAAATATGTTAAAAGCTCATTCGCATTCTAGGCATTAGCTAGAAACAATATTGTCTATTTTATGTTGAGCCAAGTAAGCTCATAATATAGTCAGTGTGTTTAAGTTATCTAAGGAATGTTATAATATCACACTCTCAGCAAATTATTAACTACATATTTTCCCATTATTTTCTCTCTTGTGCCTGCATGCTCGTAGTACTTACTATATATAAGCCTATAATTGAAGCATTCTCTGTAGAACAAATTCGTTGAATTGCATTTATGGCACTAATATAAATATAAAGTAAATATTGCTTATACGCAACGTTATCCCCGTTGAGATAACATTTAGAAAATAAACTTATACAATTTCAACACATTCAATTTAACACATTTTCCATTTTGTTGTGTTTCGATTTCGTTCTCCGTCCATTTCTTTCAGTTACAGACATACGAGTAGTACATCAATGGCATTTTCAATTGATTCGCCGGGCACATTACCTTAATCTTAAGCACCTCAGTTGCCCGTGCTGGCTTCACAGCCACTGTTTTATACTGTCAGCCACCTGCTGCCACTTTTGAGCACACCAGCTGCCTGTCAGTCGTTCAACAAGGTACACACACTACTTCGCGATATGTTCTATGCACGCATTTCGTATGCGCCCATATGTATGCTCCAGTTTTTATTGTGTTTGTTTTGCTGTTGTCGTTGTCGTTGTCATAGTCGTTGTCGTTGTCATTGTCACCCAGGCCAGCACTAAGTCATGCAAAACTGTCAGCCTGTCAGTTAGTTATACAAAATATTTGTGAGCTCATGCCGGGAGCATTAGTTTTTGATTTTGATGTATGTTTAAATGTGAACTCGTAGTGCATGCTGGGAATGGAATGAAATGCTTTGACATTTTGTAACAGATTTTTGTTCAATTTTTTAGGCCCACTTTTCCATTAAATTCAGCATAAATGGACGAACTTATTTTATTTAAAGCTTTTTATTATTTTTTTCCACAATTATATGTTGGTATTATATAAAAAATATATATTTTTTTATATTTTTAAAAGCGTTCAATTATTTGCTAAAACAGTTTAAAAATTTGTTTTTAAAAGAACAATATTGCTTTAAAAAC